GCGGACGGCAAGAAGTTCTTTGGACAGCGCACACACAATGCCTACCTCGTAGTCCTCGTGAGTGATACTTCCAGACGGGGACCTTGACAATGACAGCCTCCTAGAACCATCGGCAGTGGCAGGAGCCAAGCTTGTTCCAACTCCTGAGTCGTGGAAGTCGCCATTTGAATCGGACCCCGAATCATCTGAGCATGACAAGACGTCTTTCTGTTCAGGGTAGCCGGTGTCGTTCCAGGTCCACCGCAAGTCTCTGTTGTAACCAAATATTATCGCGCCACGGCTCCAACTGCTTGATCGAACGGAATTCGGCATAGGTATTCTCCTTTTGAAGTGTGAAGGCAGGATTACTTGTGCCAGCTCGGAATGTTCTGTCTGTTCTGAGAGTCCAATGCACTTGCAAGCTGGCGGGCCATTGTCTAGGCAGTTGCACCAAACCAAATTGCGGGTCAGTCGGACCGGTCTACTATGTGGATTTCCGAACCGATCGATGATATTTGTAAGATCATACCCACTGACTGCAAGGTAAGATTTACCTTCTGGCAATCTGCTCCAATATGGGCATAGTTGATCGTTATCAACTGGGCGAAGAATCTCACCAAACCCCGTCCCAAATAGCACTGCCGCACGAATGTCTCTAATAAAGTCAACCCAGCTTTTCCCTCTAATCCCCAACTTACAAAGCCGAGGATACAACGGGTCTTCCTGGGTCGCTAAATCCTTGAAATCCCATCCTTCCAGGTTTCCCCTGGACGTATTGAGTGACGCTCCGCCGCCTGCCCCCATGATCTCTGCTTGATGATCCATGATCTTCTCGAGCATGTTATACAAACGATTGACTCTATCTTGAATCCGTACTGGAGGTAAAGTTGCCTCACTGGGTTCGCTCTGTTTCGCGTGGTACAGTTTCAGACTTAGGTTATCAGGGTTCAACAAGACCTCCATTGCAGACCTGGGGTTGAATGTGTTCTCTGGGACTTTGATGTCGGTAAGATCTAACTGGAATGCAAAGCTGAGTGAATCAGTTCTGTTGAAATATAGGGAAGCAAATAGAAGGTGCAAAAGAGCGCAGGCCCCATTCACCAACCACCCCCGTTTGGCTCCGGCATCCCACATTACCACGTATTGTCTGGCAATCCACGAGAGCTTTTCAATGTACTCATCCCTAATTAGTCGATACGGTATGTCTCTGTTGCCATATATTGCTGGGTCACCGCCTGTGATTAGCCTGCCTGCCGTGATCAATGTGTTGTTTAAGCTGCAGCGAGCGGACGGTGGCCCCAACCAAGACCGATTGATCGAATAACTAGCATCTGTCGCTCCTTGTGGCAAGTCAGCTTGTGAAACCCTTTTCCACCCCTAGAATCATGCTATGACGTACCGGCATAGAAATCTGCGTCTGAACACCAACCAAGAATATGTCGGCTCGACTCCAAATCGGCTAGTGTGATGTGTCCGACATGAGCCCCAATGCCATCCAGATACGAAATGCGATCTCCATGCACATTATAACGTAGGTGCCACATCATCTGATCCTGATCTCGGATGTACTCTGTCGGGATCAATAAGCTAGAGAATCCTTTGATGAATAGCTTATCATTAAAAACATCCACCTGCTTTGCTTGGGCCAGACCCGCCAAAATGTTGAGCGGGATTTCAAGGCCAGTATTTCGTCTGGAACGGTATGGTATTGGGAAGCCCATCACCACTGTGGGGTTTCGGAACAAGTGGTGCCAGCATTGTCCCAGGGGTGGCGACGAGCTCGCTTTCTCCTGATCCTCACACTTGAAATCAATACTGCATAATACCCGTGTGATAGCTGCCGCTTGTGGATTTGGGTTTGATGCATCTTCAACACCCATACCCGGATATCCTTGTCTACAAGCCCGGGTGTACTGAATCTTCAAAGCTCGGATCTCACTTTCTAACGCCACATTCCGTTGGTGTTCCCCCTTGGCTTTCAACTCGGCCACTTGGTGCTCCAGCCGTCTAATGTGCTCCGTGGCCCGCTGACGAATGGTTCTTTGGGCTTCCCGATCGTTGGCGCGCTCCCTCTCCAGCTGTTCGGCAGATAGCGACGTCACTTTACGCGTCTCAGCACGGGACTCGCGCTTTTTGGCCGTGGGGGGTTCTGGAGCAGGGCTGGTGCTGCTGATGAACGGTGTGCAGTACAATATCCTAGCGTTGTGGGGTGAGGAACGGAGAGCAGAGCCTAGCCACGCAAGTTGTTCCCCAATCTCTGTAATTGAACTCTCTATCCCAGTGACTTCAACTAGAAACTCCTTTTCATTCGTCCAAGCCGCGAGTTGTGTATTGTCTGGCAGGGTACCTATAGACATGATAAGCATCCGCGGGTACCAATGGGGGGAAAGCGTACAGTTGTGTTTATAGTCACGCTCACTAAGCAGTGTAGCCTCGACTAGCTGAAGGATATCGGCACCATATGAATGCCATGTTTGCTGAAGGTATTGCAAGCAAGTCATTGCTTGAGCATCCTGACCGGACCCTGTAATCGTGATAATCTTCCCAAGGAAGCCTTCTTTACTTATGTCATACTCCTGCTCTGCGATGAAAGACGCGGGATCCCAATTGAGACGGAATACTACCTGATATATTGTTGGCTGGTCATATCGACTGACTCTTCGGAATGACGGGAGGGTCTCCAGGACTCGGTCGCGAATAGCATCCTGAACATTTGGCTCTGCTGGGTGCAGGTGAAGTTTTCTCCGAAGATTTCCAATTAGCCATTCATACACTGGGCTGCCAATAATCAAGTCCCGATATTTCGTATGTTCAGGGAGATTTTCATCACCATCTTCAATTGGTATATCTTCGTCAACGTCTGAATTCACTGCCCCACTGTCGAACTGTGGAATGACAAGATCATCACCTGCATCCTCTAGATGTTGGTCCCAGAGATCCATGAGGTCGCCTAATTCCATTTTGGTGTCGTCTTTTGTGGACACATAGGTTTCAGTCTGATCTTCTAAGTACTTCATTCTCAACCCATTCGCAATTTCACTGTCAGGACACTTTATCAGTTTCTACATGGAGGTGATGCCAAGTCTTGGGGAAGGACTAACTTTCTATGTCGACGGATGAACACCATGATATCCCTGTGTATCTGAGTCGAGCCAAGTTGACCAAATCTCATTGCGAAAGCTTTCAGAAGTTGGGGGAGAATGCCGTGAATTCTTTCCGAAAGGTTTCGGGCATCTTGATCATGCCGGACTTCTCTGAACAAATCATTAACCAATTCGCAAATGTAGATCTGCTTATTCGAAGGGGAAATGCTAGACTTAGTTGTATAGATAGATTCAGTGTCTTCGCCGTGGTCATCTTCTGCTTTTCTCGGGCTAGCTGCCGCCGGAGACGAAGGGAATCTCTTTTCGCCAGTCATTATGCTTTGAACATCATGAATATGTTCTGTGCGGTGTTGATCTCGGCGTGAATCTTTCTGGTGGGTAGTAGATGCGTATCCAGAATCTGTTGGCGGCGCGTTCAAGGTACTTTCCCTTTGTCGACTCCATTCCGGGGTTGGATTGCTACCTTCACTCATATCGGTGCTTGTGGCTTGGTTTAACGGAGAAAGCACACGAAGGGATAGAGACGCTACATGCGGATAGGACATTTATGAGCGCAATCCAGACAGAGTTTATTTTGATCCGGAATATCTCACCAGAGTGTACTTTTTTCAAGGCTGGAACAACCAAAATAAGCTCCTTTGCATAGGCTGCTGCCGCAGCAGCTGCATATCCTTGCCATGCTTTGTCTTTGTGAGAGTCGGCATAGTCACAGATGCCCCGAATCGCCAGACATGGAAGATCATCCATGAGACGTGCGGCTTCTGAATCATAACAAAGTATCCCTAGTTCCTGGTCTATTCGATCTCGGAGTTGGCCGTGTTTCATCACTTGACTTCCAGATGCAATGAATCCGTAGTGGATGACAGGCTCATCGTGCTCTCGATCAGGTCGTAAAACCAACTTGGATCGATCGCAATCTGCACACGAATTGAATCCGATATGTTCATATTCAGCTTGAAATAGATAGTCCTCTCCTGGGCGCGCGAACTTTTTTGCGGCGCCAGGAGGAAGTTTCTCTTGCATGTCGGAAAGATATTCAGCGACATGACCCCCCATAAGCCCTTTAAGGTTATGATTTGCTTGAATGGCAGCTAGAGCAGTTGACAGAAACTCAGGGACTCGATTTAGCGAATTAGCTCGCGCGAATTCGTCCATGCTCAATATTCTACCAAGATCGTATCGGATCAGACCTCCAAATCTGCTTATCGGCTGGCTCACTACAACATCGCCTAATCGAATATCTGCTTTGCTGCTTGGTATGCCACCACCAGTCCCGACTGAAAGATAAAAGCGGATGGCTGGAAATCTAGAGAATACCAGCCTCTCAAGCAGTGCAAATGTCGTAGAGGCATACGCCATATCTGGTAAGCTAGCAATAACGATATTGTGATATCCGATCCTTCCAAGAACATACTCACTGGGATCGTCTAGCAGTATGGGCGACGCTGAGTGTATTTCATCCAACATCATTGACGCAACTGCCACCTCCATAGGTAAGTTGCATATCCACCCGACGGTATACTCATCGTGGCGTGGGGTTATCTTGTGGTCCTGTTGATGGAGAGTGTGCACGTCGCTTTTTGATGGGTTTGTGGGCATCATCTGTATGGCGGATGGCTGTCAGACCTTGAAGCACAACCGAGGAGAGAGTCAGGAAGGATAGAGAGATCAGTTTATCTCTCTCCTCTTCTCGTCCCAATCGGGAGATAGAATTGTAGAGACAAGAAGGGGAGGAAGATGGGCTGTACAATGATCCGACTCTCGACATAGAAGAGGCTACAACGGAAGAGGTGGTGGTGGAATGGCCGTCAGTTTGGGCAAGAATGGGCGGGGTTGAGGGCGAGGCTGAGCTTTATCCCGATTCATCTGCCCAAATTTCTCCCAAGGCTGAAGAGACGAGACATCCATCCTATTTAGACTGGATTGGTATTCTGCATACACAAATCGACCATTGCTCCTAGGATGGTTCTCGCCGGATTTCTATATATTATATACCGCTTTCGCATCGTCTTTAAAGATGATATCTACGATACCCTTCTCCTTCCTGGAAGCTGGTCTTGCTGCTTGGCGCCTCGAGCACAGAACACCAGCCTGCTACCAGTAGCGTCTCCCAAAACGAATCATTCAGAGCCGACTATCTCAGCCTTGCAGAAATACGCACACATTTAATTCACTAGCAAGCTTTGTTGTGGTCCTTGGTTTTTTCCGCCAGCCAATCATCATCATAATACGCTTCTAGCTGCTTCTTCCATGCTTCTTTATTGGACTTGACTTGGCTGAGAATTTTCTTGATGTTTGGGTACGCGGAGAATCTGTCCTACAAAGATTATCAGCTCTGCTCCAACCAGCGTGGAGACCAAAGACGTACAGGTAAAGCATCCCATACTTTAGGATCTGGACCTCGGTTCTTGAATGTTCCACAGCCACTTTGCGCATAGGGCTATTAACCTACTTTCTAAAACTCTCCGTGGCTCGTTCATCTGGTAGCGTATTTCACGCACATAGTCATCGCTGAAGTTGCCATGTGGTGTATGGCTGACCTCGACACTACCTCCACCAGGCAAAAACTCCTCAGAGCGTCCGAGTCCGCTTCCATACAGACACGCAAGGAACTCTGTTGCCGAGTTACGGTGAAAATACGGAGGACGGAACGTATTGGACGCCACATCCCATCGTGGCCCAAACCATAGAAAGTCAGCTAATGGCGTGACTGTATCTCTAGATGGGGCAGTCAGTACACAATTCACGGAAGGGTCGGTGTGATCGATAGAGGTTGCATTTTGGGACGCGAATTTGGTCAGATCGTACTGTAGGGGACCGTCAGTATTCATTTTCACCATCGTCCCACAAGGCAATTGTTGCATACCTTGTAGGGAACGACATTTCCATGCCATGCCACCAGATCAAAAGGACTGTGATCCTGCTCAATGATGCTATATCGACCATTTGCCTTGTTGACAACCTCCCAGTCTTCATGGAGATTCTCGTCAATGTGGGCCACAGGGTGGAGAAAGTCTCGTGGATTTGCTAGTCCATGACCACCCAAGGGACCCAAATCAGGTAACTCCCAATGAGAACCCCATATCTCGATGATGTACCCACGAGCCACATCATGCTCGTGACCTAGGCGGACAGCGAAGCGAATTCCACGCGGGATCACACAGATTTCACCTGGTTGCAGGAACAGCATCCCCATCTCCGTTTGTATGTCGAGGATTCCGTGCTGAGCCACGATTAGAAAATCACCGTCCGTATTACAATATGCTCGGTGGTCCATATCTGCATTGATCATGAAGACATAGAGTGCAATGCCTTCTCGCAGATTTGGATCTCCACTTCCCCCAAGGGTGTGCAAACCATCTACAAAGTCAATCTTCTCGTCATCGTTGGGAAGAGGAAATGGTGCCCATTCAGCCTGACCAGCAAGCGTTGTCACCTTGGTATTAAGTGTAAGGAAACAGTTCTCGATGTCTGATTTGAGTTCATAATCTTTCCTATAGCCATCTTCACAACGTTAGGAACACCTGCTTGGCTTGGAAACAGAGAGGAATACATACTGTGTGCAGCTGCTGGCCTCACCCGGTACATATAAGTGCTAAAGTTGGCATGTCTTGGGGCTGTGAAGGCAGAGGACGTAAGGCCTTCAGTGTATAGACCAAGCCGTGGTTCTTGCGGATTGTTTTGACCAGCTGGTAAGGTCCCTGGGATGACTTCTGACTGAAAGCGGTTTCCAAACCCAGCCATGTATTCGTATGGATCATTGTCGCGGGTAGGCTTCCGAGCCATGGTGTCTGTGTAGTGGAACACTCTAGTCAGGTCTTTGATGGGTTTTCGTTGGTTGGGTGTGGGTGCCTGCATTATGGAAGAAGTATGGGACCTGGAGAAGCTAATATAGTTGTAAGAATGAATGGATGAATCAAGGCTTGCGTGACTGAAGTTGTATAGATACAGCAGCAACAACAGAGAGTCTTTAAGTATATGATGGCAATAGTAGCTGATTAACATGATCGAGACATACGTCAATGCATAACCTAGAGGTTTGAATAGGCCCCTCATGATCCCATGATAGCTGTCGACGTCCAAATGATGGAGCATGTGGAGCAAGTCAACATGTCCGGGGCTAGCTGATTAGGGATGGGTATCCCTTACTCTTGAGGAAAGACCCACATGGCTGACAGCGAGGTGAAAGCAGTTTCATGGTGATCTGAGAGTGTTGAAGGTCCCATAGATAATCTCAGGGTATTCACTATCATCAGACCCCGCATGAAGGGAAGCTTCTTCCCCATAATCCACTCCTCCAATGCGGGGCTACCGACTACGTATGTGGAGCCATTCCACGATCGCATCTGGGAGTATGGGACCGTAACAATTAAGCTTATTATTTAGTAGTGGGTGTTATGGGGCATAGCTAAGGTTTTTATTGCATGGCGCGCAGTCTACGCCACAGGTATGATCCAGATAGTAATACATATGGACTGAGGGATACGCCTCTAATCAACAGCAAGAACATCTTGTACCACTCTTGTCGTCTCATGACCAAGATGCTCCATGTCCAGCTTCGACTCACTAGCTCACCAGTTTGTGATGGAACCACATCTCAACGTGATTGCGCTCTGGCGAGCGCGGCTTCGGCGTCCACGCACCGCTTGATGTACGCTTCATTATCGAATACTTTGCGTATTCCTTCAGTTCCAAATTGAGTCCGGAGGATACCTGGGTCAATTGCACTAACAGATCCGATGGATCTTCGAAACACAACATGGGAGATAGTGATTCGCGGACGTGGGATGTAGCAAATTTGTCCAAATAGGGATGCTGACATCTTGTGGAAGTAGAATGTGTTGGGCTATGAGTGGCTTCAGTACATTGTAGTATGTGAAATTTGTACTGGCTTCTGAAGAGTGAGTAGTTTAAGCTTGGCTTCATTATGGGCCATGAATGTATGAATAGCCGACTCGTCCCTGTGGATAGTAGAGCGGAGGTACCTGGAAATCCCCGCGGATGCTTGGGGACAGCCCCGCAAGACATGTGGGGTTCCACATATGCCTTTATGCCTTCAGTCTCTCGGTTTCCGTGACCAAGATATACTATGGTGCAACATAAGGTCTGACGATATTTTAACTAACTAATATTGTGAAGCTAATCTCATGGATGTCAAGCCAATTTAGGGGTTGGCAACTCTCCACATTGCTGCGGGTCCGGAAGCAACCGTAATTCATGGCAGTAGGCAATAGAAATCTGGCGAGTACTGACATGTTTGCTTGCACAGCATAAAAATAACAGATGTTTTCTTTATTGTAGATTTTCAAATTGCTATTGTGTTCTTCAGCCAATCAACTGCGTTTTCTTATCAGGATGGCATGGTTTCTCGCGCGAAGTCACATGTGCGGGGTCATACAATAATGTTTCGCGATGAAAACAACATGATCTACTATGGTATTCTTTCGAGCTACGCAGTCAATTGAGTATCAGGTACAACAATGGTCAAGCCTCAGATATACCAATTGTCGGTGGCCGCCGCATTTGACGGTTTGCGCCCACAGGAAAAGCTCTATGCACATCACATGGCGAAGTAATACACGTCTCCCACCCACAAACGCGCGGCGATAACTTCTGACATGTTGCATACAAGGGCTGCCTGGAATGGCACGCGAATCATCCTCCGTCAAGTATCTCCAGAGGCCAATGGCATTTTCGACTTTATAATGGCCCTTTACCATAGCTGTGACGGGAATTGGGAACAACTTGCCACGGAAACTGGGGTCAGCGTTCAAGAACTAGAGAATTTCCTGGATTATGCCGCTACATTCCTATCCAATGTTGGCAATTACTTTGTAAGGAATATCCTGACCACTGGATGATCCTTTTCTTATTTCTCTAGGGGTCCGGCGATCAAAAGTTTACGCCCAATGTATCCAAGGAGACTCTTACCTCTCTAACATCAGTATCTTCGTCAGCGAGTAAACTATTTGGGCAGATCAAGGAACCGATGATCAGCCCTCTTCCGAGCAGTTTAGGCCACCCTGGACCGTTTACCCAGTCATCATATTATTTGGGTGAGGACTGCCTTGAGTCTTCAGAGGATATTGCCACGATATCAACGATATCAAAACTCATGGAGGCTCAATCAATCTTGCCTGAAAATACTCGACTAAAGGCATACCAAGATTCTGATACTCGTTGCTATGATATCATGCAAGCATCTGTGGTGGAAGAGAAGGTAGCATTGGGAGTATTTGATGTATCGGGAGCGTCCGATAAGAGGGCATTTCTGTTGAAAGGAGATCACAAGGAAGAATTGAAACGGGTTTGTGATTGTTTGCAACAAGCCATCCCATACGCACCAAATGCTGCTCAAGTGGAAATGTTGCAGCAGATAATTGATAGCTTCGAGACTGGAAGCCTCGAAGCATACCGCGAATCACTGAGGATATGGGTGAATGACAAGGCCCCTCCGGTTGAAACAGTCATAGGCTTTGTCGAGCCATATCGCGATCCACTAGGTGTTCGTGCAGAGTTCGAAGGCATAGTCGGAATACCGGATGCTGCCGAAACCAAGATATTGAATACACTTGCAACCAAAGCGAATCAATTGGTCTACAAACTTCCCTGGGTTGAAGGTACCGGTGACAGCAAGGGCCCTTACGAAAAGGAATTATTTGAGCCACCTGATTTCTCAAGCATCAATAGTGAGCCTCCATATGCTCAACCATACCCTGAAGCTGACACGTCTAGGTCTTGTATACTGCTCGAGTATCATTTTCCCAGGAATCAACCTTCCAAACGTCGGTAACCCATCCAAGGCCATTGCATATCGCTAACTTCTAGCAGTATAATGATCTTAGACAAGATACAGGTTACAAAAACATCATCTTCAGTAACCGCATGGTGTCTGAGAGTAGTCGATCTCGCGGTTTACACATGGTGGACGCATCAGAACAAGACACTTTCAAGAAGCATCGGTTCCATGCCTACTACATCTGGGTCGTGCTGCATGAAATCCTCGGACATGGCACGGGAAGATTCTTGACTGAATCTTCTGATGGTGTTCTCAATTTCAACATGGAAAACCCGCCCCTGGATCCCTTTACTGGAAAACTCGTGGAAAGCTGGTATCGGGTTGGGCAAACATGGACGGGGGTGTTCAATGACCTTGCAACAACAGTGGATGAATGCAGAGCAGAACTCGTCGGCGCTTACTTGATCGACGATCTAGAAATACTGAGCATTTTTGGCTACACAGGCCAAAGCGAGGTCAAGCCTGATGACAGTAAGTCGCCCCGGAGAAGCCAGAAGACTAAAGCTAAGTCTGACACTTACAGTCGCCTACAACATGTATCTTCAGCTGGGCGTCGATGGACTTCGAGGCCTTGAGAATTACGATCCCACGACCCAAGTAAGTTAAGACATGCCAGATATTGAAGGTAGTGCTAACCGATGACAGAAATGGGGACAAGCACATAGTCGAGTAAGTCTAGTTTACAGTCTTGCCATGTTAACGCTCCCCTAACTCCAATTTAGGCACACTATGCCATGTTCCGGCATCTCCTCTGCGACAGTGGCGGTCTCTATAGCGTTACGAGCAATCTGGAGAAGAATAGCTTGACGGTCAAAGTTGACCGATCGCGAGTAATATCTCATGGCAAACCATCACTGGGTCGCATGCTCTTGAAACTTCATATCTATCGTTGCACCGCTGACGTCTCCAACTGTCGCCGTTTCTATGAGGATCTATCGCATGTTGACGAACAAGCTCTGAAATGGAGAGCTATTGTTGTCTCCAAGAAGGATCCTCCTCTGGTGTTCAGCCAGGCCAATACTTACCTTATCGGTGATGATGTAAAAATAAAGGAATACGAACCCACAGCTCGAGGAGTTGTGCAAAGCTGGGCGGAAAGAAGTATTGAATAGTACTTCCCAGTCGGCATATTACTACACAGCCAGAAAACAATTGCACAGAAAGCCTTCAAATGATCGCAAACTTCCCCATTGAACCCACCAAATACGCCTTGCTGTACAAAACTCTGAGCAAATTGCAAAACTACCTCCAAATATCTAACCAACTCGCAGGATCGCTCTCTTCCATCCAAAGCTGAACCCAGGTGCGAGGCGTCGTGGTAGCTAACTGCCTCTGCAAAACGACAATGCGATATTTCAAAATCGGTAAGTCCCACGGACGATAATACTTCTCCTTCTAAACAAGCTCAGCCAAAGTATAACGCTCCCTCTTTCCACACAATGCCATCAGTAATGGGCATGCCAGCGACTAGTAGGCTGGAATATACTTGGAGTTGGCACATGTACTGCTGGCGGTAAGACGGTCAACTCCGTTTGTTAGATGAGCTTCAAGGCCCTTTAGGTTCTACAATGACACTAGCAGAGTCATCTTAGATTATTGGCAGTTCCAAGTATGACAATAGTACAATTCCTGTACTACTTCCTGCCAATGGCAAAAGATAGCGGATTGCTAGTCTTTCTACATACAGGAATTTTCTATATGAAAATATCCGTAACTATCATGTAAGTTACAACCATCAGTTCCGAATCGAAACAAAGATTAACCAGATGTAGTGTAGTACAAACATAACATTTTGCAGAACAAAAAGAATGAAAGTTTACACATCTTGTGTCATTATACTGATACTTGTGGAAGATTCCAATCCGCTGCAAATGCCCTATATTCCTACCTACGCAGCATGGGGGACATCCCCTAAAGGCAACATCATCGAGTATGTGCCTACGCATATAAAAGAACCTCATAATCCTGTCGTCTACCCCTATCTGTCAAGACCATAAACTATCTGATCAAGGCCTTTGTTCGTTTGTTAACATCTTCTCACCCATCGCGGCATTACTGGAGACAATATCTCTAGATATACACCGGACAACACCCAACCCCGACCGAGTCAAAATCATGCCGTACTACGCTTATCTCCAAGAGCACGTCGTCGACGGGACGCAGGAACCCGTCCTACAAAGATACTACCTGGTAACTGCTGCCGATGCCCTTGCGGCCAGTGATTTCCTTGTCGGACTGGGCAAATATGCCGAGACAAAGAACGATCGGGTGTATAGTACCAAGGCCGAGACCATGGAGTGGTGGAACTGTACGGTAAGCTCAGCCGGTGACATTCAATGGATCTACAACGAAATGATTGCCCAAAGGCCTGAGAATTACAACAATGTGGAAGAGTTGGCCGATTGCCGTGGTAGAATCATTCTCTGCGAGTTGAACCTGGCGAATTGGCCAATTATTCCTGTCACCCAGAACACTTCGCTTGATTATAGGGATCACCAGGTCTCCTAGATCAGCCAGTTTTACCATATGACGAGGGTACATTGGCTGATTGGAATGCTGATGTTTGATGGAGTCTTTGTCTTTGAGAAACCCAGAATGGTTTGTGGCTACGGTCACGTGGTTGTCGGTTTCCCGAACCTCCTGACAGAAGCATGTATCAAGTATGACCAGAATGCGAAATAATTATGTCTTTAATCTTGAGTGGCCAGAGTAGTCCATCTTCACCCTCCATCATAATGTAAAATCCAGGAAAAAGTTTTTGTAAAGCAAGGGAACGTGCTACCCCAGATCGAGACCCCACAAGATCTCCCGAGTCGGAGGGAAAGTCGGCAGAGTCAAGGCTGGCCAGGAACACCGGCGAGTTTACCCGATTTGTCTTGCCGACGCCAGTCCCGCTATCGGAATCGTAAAATACACCCGTCGTTGTGACGGGTTCGCCCCCCATTGGGCGCTTATCTAATCAATCATCACTGCCGGAGGACCCTGAATAGACTGACGGACAAGCAGAAAGTAACTAAGAAACAATCCGTGCATTGGGGGATACCGGTAAAATCGGAGAATGTTTGACAAGGCCATCCCGCTCCGATCGCGTGCCTCAAATAGTGCTTTTGAGGGGAAAGACTGGGGTGATTCAAACCAGGGGGTTGTGGACACCCCGCAGGCAGAACGTTTCTCCCCCCCACAACTGTACGAGGCAATACGACCCCAGCGGTCAGGCAGTGGGGTCGGCTTCGGAAGGCGGCAAAGCGATGCTGAAAGTCGGCGGCGGATAATCGCTTTTGTCGGCTGCGCCATCATGTTCACTAGCCGAACGGCGAGCTACGCGATGCTGCAAGAGCCGGTCTGGCCTAGGCTGAGCTTCTTTTTTATCGCTGGCGTTGTCCTTCCTTCTCTCTTTCTCTTCTTTTCTTTCTTTCTTTTCCCCAGTTTTTTGGACTCCCTCCGCAGATCTCAATTCTTTTGTTTAAGGCTGGTCGACAACCATGTCGCGGCCTGTTCCTGCGGTGTTCCGCCCCATCTGGAGGCGGAATTTCTCCGTCTCAACTGCCAAGCGCGCAATTGATAAACTATGCCCGTCCGCTCAGGAAGCGATCAAGGATATGAAGGGTTCTTCGACCCTTCTCGTCGGTGGTTTCGGTTTCGCTGGTGTCCCTACTACGTTGATTGATGCCGTCCGTGACCGTCCGGACATCAAGGATCTGACTGTCGTCTCCAACAATGCTGGAATGCCCGGTGTTGGTCTCGGTAAGTCTACTTCAGTGCAATTTAACGATCACACGGGTTGTAATTGGTCTAACGGACAATGATAACAGGCCAGCTGCTGGAAAGCAAGCAGATCAGCAAGATGATCGCCTCTTTCATCGGTGAAAACAAGGTCTTCGAGAAAATGTATCTCACTGGTGACCTCTCTCTGGAATTGACCCCCCAGGGTACCATTGCGGAAAAGTGTGCCGCTGGTGCCGCTGGTGTCCCTGCCTTCTATACCCCTGCTGCTTACGGAACAATCGGTACGCATACTTCAATGGCTGTCTATGACCCCGGACTTAAGACTAATTATCCGGTTGTATAGTGCAATCTGGTGAACTCCCCGTTCGTTACAACAAGGACGGTAGCGTCGCTATCAAGAACGCCCCCAAGGAAGAACGCGAATTCAACGGAAAGAAATACATCCTGGAAGAATCGATTTTCGGTGACTACGCCCTGGTTAAGGTCCACAAGGCCGACAAGCTCGGTAACTGCCAGTTCCGCAAGTCCATGAACAACTTCAACGAGGCCATGGCCAAGAACGCCAAGTACACCATCGTCGAGGCCGACCACATCGTCGAAGTTGGCGAGATCGACCCCGAGAGCATCCACCTCCAGGGCATCTACGTCAACAAGGTCATCCAGAGCACCGGCGAGAAGAAGATCGAGAAGCTCACTTTCGCCAAGGACCCCAACGAGATGCTCCAGGCTGGTCAGTACCCATTTCTAGCCCCGGCCCATAGCGCAAACTTGCTAACATTGTTGGTGTTGTAGGTTCCGGTGAGGCCACTATCCGTCGTGAACGTATCGTCAAGCGTGCCGCCAAGGAATTCAAGGACGGCATGTACGTCAACCTTGGTATCGGAATGCCCCTGATTGCTCCCGCCTACGTCGAGGAGGGCGTTGAGGTCGTCCTCCAGGCCGAGAACGGTATCCTGGGTCTGGGTGGCTACCCCAAGCCCGGTGAGGAGGACCCCGACTTGATCAACCCCGGCAAGGAGACCGTTACCCTGGGTCGCGGTGCTTCTGTTTTCGGTTCCCACGAGAGTTTCGGTATGATCCGCTCTGGCCGCATTGACCTGACCATGCTTGGTGCTCTCCAGGTCAGCCAGTACGGAGGTAAGCTCAGCACCCTTCACCACAAACTCATAATGAACAATACTAATCCTTAATCCCAGATCTCGCCAACTTCATGCTTCCCGGTAAGGTCAAGGGTATGGGCGGAGCCATGGATCTCGTTTCCAACCCCGAGAAGACCAAGGTCGTCGTCACCATGGTGAGTCATCCTCTACTTATACCACCACACATACATGTGAATGTCCACCACTAACATAGTTTTAACAGGAACACACCGACAAGAAGGGCAACCCTAAGATCCTCCCCGAGTGCAGCTTCCCCCTGACCGGACCCCGCTGCGTGTGGAAGATCATCACCGATCTGGCCGTCTTCGAAGTCAGCCCCACCGAGGGTCTGACTCTTGCCGAGTACGCCGAGGGCGTGACCGTCGAGGAGATCCGCAGCAAGACTGCCGCTCCTTTCAAGGTTTCTGCTGATCTGAAGCCTATGCTGTAAATTTATTATATATACCACTTTTTTTTGATGCATAAGTATGATGGGTTGTTTATAGATTGTGATCGTTGTATATAACATTGATTGTTGATGTTGATGACTGGTTTGGTTGGATAAAAAGGGAAATTCAAAAACTAGATTCATGATATACACTACACTCATTATTCCTTAAAACATAAAACATACACATACCCCAATACGATACAATACATCACTGATGGATAGCGAACGACAGAGAAAAAGGAGCGAGAATCAATGCGTCGTCTTCGACCTATTAACCGACCCCGTAATCCCCTTACGCGTCCCCTCAACAGGATTCGGCGCAGTACCGGTATTCATCCTCCTCGCGGCAGCAACATTCGGGGCCTTGAAGGCAATATCATTCTGCTCGCGGTATTCCTCTTCCTCTTCTTCTTGCTGTTCGTGCCAGGCATTCTCGTAGTCGTCGATGGGGAGGTCATCGTCGCGAACTGCGCCGTGGACTTTCTTCGGTTGCGGGGGTGGGGAGGCGACTGGTTTGGAGGGCATTTTGGATGAGCAGAGGATTAGCTGGATTGGATTGGTTTAATGGACGTGATTCTTGGTTTGTAAAGGATGTTCTGTGGTGTTGTGATTGCGAATGGGATGATGTGATGTGATGGGACTGGAAATGGGGAAAAAGGTTGGTTTAAATAGCCAGGTATATCAGGAGTACGGGGTAGCGTAGGTTTGAAGAAGCGTTATGATGAGGTCATGCATGATTAAGTATCATTGTATTTGGTATGAATGAATTTAGTTCGAATGGTTCCACAAAAGATGCAGGTTTGTGTACATTGATTGCTTGGGTGATATGCTGTGTGGTAATGGTACTGTGTATAGTTGGCGGCGAATATACTTCGTCCTAGTATTGGATGGGTGATGGCGTCATGGCGATGTAAGTCGCGCAGTGTTTGAGATACTTGCAGAATCCCATGTGCTGAGATATTCTGTAGAGTATATTCCTGTAGGTATTGCTCAGGTCTCAAGTATCATATGGAAAGCTCTGATGGAATGGATGGATGCTGCGGCTGATATGGGTTTGTTGTGGGGACGGGCAGATAGATTCGTCATTTCCCAATTAGGAAACATATCACGAGAATCTTATCCCACCGGTTTTACAGGTAATTTTGTTATGCATTTTCTTATTACTAGAATTTTGAGAAGCAGGTTTTGAGAGACTCTCGATATAGTACTCGTTTGGTCATACTAATAGTATATGACTAGGCCATTGTATATACAGCATATAGGTCCCCTTTAACCAGTAGACCCAAGGACTCCTCCATAATAAAATAAGCATTCTTCCATAAAGACACAACAGGAAGGTATAAAGTTGTGATGTCCCAGCGACGGACCAGCTCTATCGTCAACAATCGCTTGCATGCCCCGTATATCTCTTGTCTGATAGACTACCAAAGAAATTGCTGTTGAAAGCTCACAGGAGGTGCACCCCTCCACAGACTCGGTTTCTGCAAACTAGGAAATTCATGGACCGCTTCCGCTCGAGCGCGTTGATACTGTATCGCTTCGAAAACAGGATCCATTCGTGGACGATTCTCCCTGGCCTCGCCATCTAATGCGCTGCTATATGGAACTTTAGCCGACGATAAACCGCCATCGATCGGACTATTGGGTATATCAATCTGGTGTATCCGTGGTAGCGTAGGCATTTCGCGATATCCTTGGAACTCGGGCATCTGGTCTTTTGGAGATCCAGTCTCCGGTTGATATTCAGGGTGTGAGACAGAAGGACGCTCAACGGCTTCAGGTCCCGAAGAGTGCCGTGACGAACTATCTCCTTCATTGCTCAAACAGTCATTCTGCCAGTCCCGGATTTCCTGTACTGTGTGTAGAGGAAACTTCTTCCAATAGTCGGTGCCTCGCTTTCCGAGGCGGGAAGATGACGAGTACGTTTGAGGCGGACTGCCGCTGTTCCGATGCCTGTTTGAACGATCTTGGCGTCCTTGGACACTGGCAGAGAGCTGAGAGTCCGGGATCTGGGCGAGAAGATTCAGAAGAAGACTCTCTGTTTCATGAAGACGGTGTTCCAAGGCTTCTATGTAACCTTTTGCCGGCCCACTAAGACGTATAAGCTTGAACACTTCCAAGTCCAGCAGCTAGCGTAGCTTACCGTTTCAACTGTTCGGGCCAGTCGCACGACCGATTGTGCTGGTCGCATTGAGTGCAAATTGGCCTTTCAAATCAGATTGCATGAGCAAAAGATGGAACTAATAACGAAGAATTTCCTACTTACTTATTCCCGCTGCACTAGAAACACATGGATTGTTAGATGCGAAGAAACATGAAGAATAGAATAATCTCACCTTCTGTTTCCGGAACCGGCAGGAATTACAAGCCACTGTGATGCGTGACACTTTGTTCGGCTTTGCAGGCGCCATTGTTGACCGGTTAATAGTTTGAACGAAGGGTGACGCAGTAAAGTATGCAGTAGATTGACCGGCTCCGCTCGGGGATCATCGTAGTACAAAGTATCAGCCAGAGGGCAGGATTAAGAGGGCGCTCGAGGAAAAGCGTTATGGAGCAGCGGACTGCCGCCATAGAAAGGCTAAGCAATTCGGGTCGATCGTGATTGCCACTTCGGGATAAGCGCAGGGTCGGTGGGACTTCCACGGCTGAACGCTTAGCCGACGCGTGGCTCCTTCTCTGTGCAGTGCCTGTGCCTGTTCTTCAGGGATCAACAATCACCCTGCTCTGCACATCTGATCATCTACTCAGCAGCTATACACTATAAACGTTGGTGGTTGTGACATACTTAGCCTGTCCATCGCAGAACGGCATATGGAGAACAGTAGGAAGCCGGCCTGTGCGGTTGCCACTAATTCGGTATAGGCTGGATTAGATAAGCGCAGCAGTATCCATCTTTGCCCCCAAACTATACTGGCTCCAAATATTTAAGAGCCAACGGAAAATAAACTACTGGTTATAGTTGATACTAAAAGGCGGAATTACGAGACATGAATAAAGTTGTATGCGGCGAAATTATGGCGACAAGCGCAGGACAAACCTTCAGCCTGAATAATAGCCGGAGCGGGGAAGTATATAGAGCTTCAATGCGGGGATCATAGTACTGATATCCAGAGAGTCCTTCCTCGCCTCAGTTCTTACTAGTATCGTGTTTCAGTCTTGCGAAAACACAATGGCTACAGAGAAACCTACTTATCGTATCGCATCCATTCCCGGTGACGGCATTGGCGAGGAAGTGGTGCGAGCAACCATTGAAGTGGTCAACAAGCTCGCTCAGACGTTGAACACATTCAACATTGAATTCACGCATCTCCCATGGGGCACTGATTACTACAAGCAACATGGTCGGTACGTGTCTGAAGGTTACTTGGATACTCTGCGGAAATTCGACGCAGGCTTGTTTGGCTCTGTGGGACATCCAGGTATGTATATCTGATCCTTATAAGACAGACAGTCGATTGCAATTCACGCACTAACTGATCTAGACGTACCCGACCACGTCTCCTTATGGGGCCTGCTACTAGCGCTCCGGAGTCCATTGCAACTATATGCCAATGTCCGTCCTGTGCGCACCTTTCCCGGAACCAAGTCACCTCTGACCACAGCTGTGAATGGCATCGATTGGGTCCTTGTGCGAGAGAATTCCGAGGGAGAGTATTGTGGTCAAGGTGGACGCAGCCACACGGGTCAGCCATGGGAAGCTGCGACAGAGGTGGCCATCTTCACAAGGGTTGGTGTTGAGAGGATTATGCGCTTTGCCTTCGAAACAGCACGCTCCAGACCACGTCGCCACCTGACCGTCGTCACCAAGAGTAATGCCATGCGCCATGGAATGGTCCTCTGGGATGAAGTCGCTGAGGCGGTCGCGAAAGACTTCCCGGATGTCACCTGGGATAAGATGTTGGTGGACGCCATGACCCTCCGCATGATTTCGAAGCCGGATTCGCTGGATACTATCGTGGGAACCAATTTGCATATGGACATTCTATCTGACCTTGCAGCTGGTTTGGCTGGTTCCATCGGTGTGGCACCATCCAGCAACCTCGACCCTACCCGCAAGAACCCCTCGCTGTTCGAGCCGGTTCACGGAAGTGCTTTCGATATCATGGGTAAGGGCGTCGCCAATCCGGTGGCTACTTTCTGGTCCGCTGCGGAGATGCTCGCATGGCTGGGTGAAAAAGATGCTTCCAAAAAGTTGATGGACTGTGTCGAAAAGGTGTGCGCTGCTGGGGTTTTGACACCGGATCTCGGGGGTTCGGCGAATACGCAGGGAGTTGTGGATGCGGTTTGCAAAGAAATCGAGCTGCAGTTGGCTTCATCGTAAGGAAAGATGCGGCAGGGTCTTCTTGTATCGTGTGTTGGTGTTGGGAAAGACGCGAAATAGAGATACTTCCTCTCCTGTCAAGCATAGCATCGACTGAACGGTTCCACCTCCAATTGCATTATCCCCAGTTCTAGTTTCAATCCGTTGAGTAGACAATATATTCTTAATAAACAGTGTAATTTCGATTGATTACCTGGAGTTAACTAAACTCCTGGCTTGCCCTTCTCTATTCCCTACTTCTTTTGGCCGATTTCGCAAGCAGTATAGACTGGCCAGCAATAGGCGTCAACATCTTTGAAGTCAATTCACCCTCTGACGGTTGGGAACTGCATGTGAGTCATGGGGCTTGAAATTAACCAATTACTCCCGGAATAATTACTATTTATGCAAAACTTGACGCTCAGTAGTATCAGAATTGGTGATGGTGGAAGTGCTGTCCATGACTAAGCAGACACCCGGATTTGCGACTCCCAATTCAATCCGAGATTCTTGACTTCAACGCCATCTTTTCTTCCATGCTCTCTCCTTATCCGCGACAGAAGCATCATGATCCCACCAGAATGGAGCCTCCGGACCTTACCAATGGCCCATCTGAGATTGGTTCCCTGACCGCGCATTCCAAGGATGAGAGTCAGTTTGTCGGTAGCTCCAGTGGCGTCTACTTCATCAATACCGTCCGACGGGCTTTCTCCGAAAGTTTAGATCCGACTGGTTCATCGCCTGCACAAGACTTCCCCCAGCCGGAGGATACCCTGGTAGGCAGTGATGTCTCGCAGAAAACGACCCCGGCTGCACTGCAGGATGATCAGTTTCCGAGCCAATGGGCATATGATCCCGCAGTGGCAGCAGTCTTGGGGAATGCTCCCCCGCTTGATACAGCTCGGGAACTCATGATGATATACTTCAAAGTTTGGCATCCTCTGTTCCCATTTCTGCATGGCCCTACTTTCTTGCAGGCCATGGAAGGCCTATATTCAGAAGACCGCCAGGAGCCAACTGGTAATGCTCCAATGGCGGATCACCGGCATGTATGCTGGACAACAATCTTTCAGTGTATTTTCAATCTAGCCAATGCTGTTCATCCGGAGATTCAACTTCCGCTGGGGTCTCGGATTGAATCGCCCAGTAATATGCATTCTCTCCTCGGCACGCTAACTAGTAAGCACGATATGTTGTCCTTGCAGGCACTTCTTGCTTGCCAACTATATCTGCTTGCAAAAATGTCCCTCCGGACAGCCTCCACCGTAGGTGGCTGCATGCTCCGTTCCATGCTGCACGCAGGTCTCCATCGCTG